TCCAAGGTCCTTCCTACTCCATAACCCTAACCCTCCTGGCTTCCACTACCCAGAGCCAGCCCGGACCTCTCAGAGCCTAGTCCCCCACTTCACCAACATGAGCCAGGTTGGACCAGCTCTGCCTGCCTGCAATTCTTTCCTTAAATCACTCTAAGGCACTGAGTTAAAAGGAACCATAGAGGCAGATACATAAGAAAACCTTTCTTTTCTGTCCTCAGCTTCCACCAGGATTGGGAATGGGCCACCCCTCTTCTTTCTCCACACTCTTTCACAATCCGTAAACTTTCATTGTATTGTCTCCATGAGGTGTTTTTCTTCCTGCTATTAGGAAGCCGAGCTGTCCGGTGCCCAGCCTTGCTCCCCAAGCATATCTTCACATCTCACACCACCAGAGGCTCCCCTGTCCTCTAGCTCATCAGCTCTTCTCCAGTCCCGGGAGAGGCCTTCAGTGCCCTTCAAATTACCCAGGCCAATTCTGCGCACATCTTTTTCACGACACTACACACACACACACACACACACACACACACAAACAAGACTGAAAGCAAGTTTCCCCCTAGTTTGCAGATGATATGCTGTGACTCATGCTGCATCCAAGAGTGAGAGATCTCCCCAAGTGCGTGGCCACCTCCTCCTGCGGCTCCCCACACAACACAGCTCAAATCCAGCACATCCACAGACATTGCTCAGGCCTCACCCCTCCTAGGTGGGTGTCTCTTCTGATACATCTGACTCCCCCTCCCCCACTCCCAACAGGGGCTTCTGGTCCTAGAAGACTTTTTATCCACCAGTAGAAAGTAAGCTCTTTGAGGCAATAGGTGGATTCTTGTATGTCTGTGTATCCCCAGGGTCTGGCAAGGAGGAGGAGATGTAACCAAGGTCTGTTTCAAAACACTGAATTTCATCTTTCTTGTGCTCCCGTCACCCTCTGCCATGTACTGTATTTATATAAAATGTTCTCTCTCTCTCTCTCTCTCTCTCTCTCTCTCTCTCTCTCTCTCTCTCTCTCTCTCTCTCTCTCTCTCTCTCTCTCTCTCTCTCTCTCTCTCTCTCTCTCCTTCCCTCCTTCCTCTCTCTCTCTTTCTCTCTCTCTCTCTCTCCTTCCCTCCTTCCTCTCCCTCCTTTTCTCTTTCTGCCCCTCTGTCTGTCTGTCTGTCCATACCTCCTTCCCTCTCTCTCTGTCTCTATCTCTCTCCCTCCCTCTCTCTGTCTCTTTCTCCTCTGTCTCTGTGTGTCTCTCTGTGTCTCTTTATGTGTCCCTGTCTCTCTGCCTTTCTGTCTCTCTATTTATCTTTCTTCTATCTCCCTCCTCTATCTTTTTCTCTGTCTCTGTCTCTCTGTGTCTCTCTCTGTTTCTGTCTCTCTCTCTCCCTCCCCTCTCCCTCCTCTCTCTTTCCCTTCCTTTCTCCTTCTCAGCTTCCCCCTAGAATATAAGCTCTTGGAGGAGAGGAATCTCTCATTTGTTTATCTCTGCATCCCCACTGTGGAGCACAGAGTAGGTGCTTTGTAAGGGTCTTTTGAATGTGATATGGCAGACAGTAGGAATACAGAAAAGAAATAAACTGTACCCTGCTGCCTTCCAGGGCCCTGCCTTGGTTTCTGCAGATGTGAAATTCAGGAGTTAAACTAAGTGACATCTGGGGTCCCTCCCAGCTTTAAAAGGATCAATATTATTGCAAGGCTAGAGCCAAAGGTGTGTCAAAGTCACCTCATACGAGCTCAGGAGCTGATTGCTAAATTTTTCATTTGAGCATTTTTCACCTTGGAAATTGGCCAATTCTATGAATTAGGACTTCATTTAATGTTTTGTTGATTGTCTGGGCTCAAGAAAGTGATGGAAAAAATGTTAACAATGCAGATTCACCCTTAAAGCGTGTCCTGTGTATGATTTTTTTTCCCAGAAAGCTGGTTGTTGAATATCTACCAGCACACTCCTGGCTAGAACCCTACTAAACGTAGTTCTTTCTCGGGCTCTGGACAGAAGGCTCCAGAATGGAGCAAACACTGGGTTTAGAGCTGGAGATTATTACTTAGCTGATGTCACCCTGGCTGGCCTCCCCTTTATCTACTGCACAAGACCCGTTCAGAGGTCTCCGTGTCATGTTGTGGGGAAGAGCGTTAGAGTGGAGGATCTGCTTAGGGCAGAGCAAGGTTGAAAGGTCACTGTGTAGAAGGTACAACACAAAGAGCCATGCATGCAGACTTTACACAAGGCCTGGCTTCAATCAGAAGAGCGTCTGACTCTCCCTCAGAAACACCCAAAGTCGTTGCTCCCTCCCACACAAAAAAAACAGGAGGCAAAGAGTCAGTTGAGGGGAGATTCACTTAACCACAAAATCACTTCGATCAGACCTCCTTAATACGCAAGGAAAGCCTGGCCCTGTTATTGAATATCCCCAAGCTTGCCATGTGGACTACTTTCAAATCTTAAATGCTGTAGCAGACGAGGGGCACGGGATGTTTCTGAGTCAAGGCTCCCCTGCCCGCAGACCCTCTAGTGCTGGGCCCTCTGAGCTCTTCAGAGCTACCATAATGTTCTGTGAATTGTTGGCGTTGGGCTCTCGGATGGTTTTCTCTCCATCCTATTCATTATTTCAGCAGGGGAAGCAAGCTCAGGGTCCCACAAAGAGACTTTGCTTTGCAGTGAGGACTTGATTTTTCCAAACACCCCTCTCCCCCATCCGGAAGCAATCAGAGTCAATAAAAAAGGAAGCTGAGCCTTAGGAAGACCTGAAGGGAGAGAGGGACAGAGACAGAGACAGACAGACAGACACAGAGACACAGAGAGCTAGACATGGAGACAGAGAGTCACAAAGAGAGACAGAGAATGGATGCTGCTCGAGGACAGGGACTGTTCTCAGATTCTTGCCTTTGCATCCGCAGTGCTAAGCACACCACCTGGCACATAGCACCTCTCTCCAACTCCAGTGGGTCTGTGAGCTCATCCACCCAGTTCCTCCCCCATGGATGTCATCCCAACCATCCCATGTCTATCTATCCTATGCACAGCCACTGCTTCCCATAGGATCCCGCCAAGGAATCCCCCCAGTGCTTGCAGTCTTCCCTAATTTCTCGTGATATGGAAAGCGCACCAGCAGAGAGCAGCGGCTGCCCACCCGTCACCCTTCACCCTTGCTGCATGACCAGTCCATCTCCTCTTCCCAACATACGTTCCCTGGTGGTAGCTTTGGTTCCTACTCTTCTGATAAAGCCTGCTCATGCCCACCACCCTTCTCCCCATGTGGTCTGGCTTCTACTTCTCTCCACGCCATATTTTTATCAATTTTTCAGAAGCAGTTTTATTATCCAGTGAGATGATGCATGTAAAGTGCTTGGCAAACATGAAAGCACTGTCTGCATTTTAGCTCTTACTCTTCTTCTTCAGAGACTGATGTGTTCTTCCCTTGAGGCCCAGTGGGAACAAGGGGAGAAAGTTGGCATTAACAAAATGGACTTTCGTTCCTGGAAGAAGCTCAGCCTCACTAAGGGCCCTGCCCAAGCCCCTCTCCTTCTCCTCCTCAACCCTGGCCCAGCCCGCCTCCGCTTCCCCAGGTCGATGGCTGGCCTCGTTGGGCTACCCACGCAGATTCATCCGCTTGGTCTTTCCCACGTGGCTGGGGGATCCAGTCACATCGTCTGAGAGGTTCTAGATCTCTGACACGCGTGGGCAGGAACGTCACCCACGTCCCGAGAACAGACCTCGAGGCCTGCAGTCCGGCCCCACGTGTTCCTGATCCTCTGGGGCTTGGACAAGCCTATCGTCCCCTCTGGATACTTTGTGCCTCAGCGGGAGGGGAGAGGATGCCCCAGGCCTGCGTGGGGAGTCACAATCGGAGCTCCTGCTCGGTCTGTTGGATGACGTCTTTATTGAGTCAGTCGAGCCATTTGGCTTATGGGTTCGTGGGAGGCGTACACCTATGGGCTCAGAAGGCAGAGTAGCAGAAGGGTATTTCCTACCCGGGGGCACCCCTAGAGTCAGGAGAGCAGTTGTGAAAACCGCCTCCCAGGGGAACCCCAACTTACCAGTGTGCACACAGGAAGCAAGCTGAGAGGCAGACAGACAGACGTACAGACACAGACAGAGGGGTGGAGAACACGTCAGGGGGGCAGCCCTGAGTGTTTCCAGTGCTTAACCCCTCACACCTGTCCTCTGATGACTCACAGTGGAAGGGAGAGAGGCTTTCGAGGGCCCCCCAGTTGGGCTCTGGCGGGTCACTTTGTGGTGATGGGCTTGGGGTCTGTCACCAGAGAAGGAGCCTCCACAAGGGGGTCTGGAGCAAGTCCCCCGTCAAGGATTGTCCATCTCGAACCCACTACTCCCCCAAACCCTTTCCAAACCCCCGTTTGTCCCTGAAGATGTTCCAGTTCACGATCCTGGAGCAGTCCTGGACTCTTCACTCTCCTCACCATCAATGCTGGGGAAGGGTCGGTTCTGCCTGGAGAGCGTTTCCCCTTCCTCCCCTCCTCACAGCCGCCTCCCCATTGCAGTTCCTCATCCCTTCCCACCTGAATTATTATAAGAACCTCTGAAGTGGGCTCTCAGCCCCCAGCCACATCTCCCTCCAGGGATTCCCACAAATGTCCAGCCGATCTTCCTAAAGCCCAGAGTGGCTCCCTTTGCCTCCAGGATAAAATGCAAACTCTCCTGTTCAGCATTTACAGCCCTTCATAACCAGACTCCAATCTAACTTCCAATTCAATGAACACTTATTAAGCACCTACTGTGTGCCAGGCATTGTGTTAAGCCCTGTGGATACAAAAACAAAGCTGTGCGAAGCAACCTATATGCAAGATACATAAGAAAAGAAGAGTAGAGCAAAGGTCCTGGAATTTGGAGAGCTGGGGAAGGCTTCCTGTAGGAGGTGGGATTTCTGTTGGGACCTGAAGGAAGCCGGGGAGCTCCGTGAGCAGAGCAGAGGAGGGGGAGTGGTCCAGGCTTGAGTCACAGTCAGAGAGAACGCCCAGAGACAGAGAGGGAGGGGCTTGTTCATGGAGCAGCCAGAGGCCGGGGCACTGGGTGAAAGAGGAGGCCGTGGGGAGGAAGATGGAAGGAGACTGGAAAAGGAGGAGAAGGTAGGTGATGAAGGGCTTTGAATGTCAAATCGAGCACTTAGATCCTGGTGGCCACAGGGAGCCCCCGGGAAGAAACTGAGTAAAGGCTTAATGGATGCCCGTGGAACTGCACAGACAGCCCTGCATAGCCTATGGAGCGCTCCTTCCAGCACCCAGGCCTTCAGTTTCCAAACCAGGTCAAGCAATCCATACACCCACATTTATTAAGCACCTGACCCGGAGCTGGGCACGGGGCAAAGCTCTGCTTCTTTTTTATTGGCTTCCATGGGGGCACATTCCTAATAGAATTGGGCTAAAGTTTACAATTCAATTGTGACCTTTAAAAAGTTCTCTTCATGTAATTATAATAGCTAACATGTACATAGCTCCTACTGTGTGCCAGGCCCTGTGCTGAGCGCTTTGCAAATATTATCTCCTTTGATCCTCACAACCCTGGGAGTTGGTGCTGTCATTATTCCCATTTCACAGATAAGGAAACTGAGGCCAACAGAGGTAAAGTGACTGGCTCAGCATCACAAAGCTACTAAGTGTCTGGGGCTGGATTGGAATTCAAGTCTTCCAGGCTCCAGGCCCAGGGATCTAACCACTACACCACCTGGCTGCCTACTTGTTTCCTGTTTGTATTTTTAATTACACGCGCAGTCTCCAGAAAGTCTTCTTGTGGATTTTCGCAAATGAAGGGGTCTTTTCCAGTGTTACAGGCTCTTTAATTCAGGCACGTCGAAACTACAATGACCCATTTAGACAACCTTCCAGAGTACTTTGTGACCAATCTCTTTGTCCCTGGCCCTCTGCCATCAGTCAGGCGATCAATAACCGTTGATGAAGAGACTGCGCGTGTGCCTGGTGCCCGCTGAGTGATGGGAGATGGAAGCAAAGGCAGGAATGGCCTCACTTCAGGGAGGGAGAGCTGCAACGCCGGGAACAACTCAGCAGCAACTGAATACAAGGTGAGCGCACTGAAGAGAAACAAGGGCTCCAGAGGTTTCGGTGAGAAGGGAGGGCACACCAGGCATGAGGCACAGCCTGTACAAAGGCAAAGAGAGGGGAAATGGAGTGTCTTGCATGACGAAGAACAAACAGGCCACCTTGGCTGGGGTAGAGCGCTCAAAAGGGAGCAAAGCAGAACCATCACAGAAATATCACAAAGGACCATGTTGAAGAGGGCGTTCGATGCCAAACGCAGAGGTTCTCACTGGTCTTAGAGGCAAATGGGAGCCAGTGGTCCTTCTTGAGCAGGGGAGTGACCCAGTCAGGTCTGTACGTTAGCAGCTGTTTTGATTATTGATGGGAGAGACTGGAGGCAGGGAGTCAAGAAGAGCAGGACCCGCTCAGAGGCCTCGAGGGGAGGACACACAGATGGGAAGTGGGGGGCTCAGGCTGGACTCTGGAGCAGGGCTCCCAGTTCAGAGCTATTTCTGTATCACCCCCCTAATTCCTTATAGACCAGTCTATTCTCCTTCTACTTCATGCCCCATAAATTATACAAAGATTGGGGATTTTTTCCCTCCCTACTGAGCCACATTCTCCCAGCTCATGAGCCACCGGAAATGAGCGTGGCTTCAGCCCCAGCATCGATGCCAATGAAAATGGCTGCCTTATAGGGAGCCCTCCTCGGGCACATGCCGGACTGTGGACCAGTCAGGAGGGGGAAGAACTATAGAGATGTGGCTGCTATGGGTGGACATGTGCTAGCAGCCTTCAATGAAATGGTCATTCCCAACACGGACTTGTCCACCAAGAACCATTCCATTCTCCCATCTAGAAATTCTGGTGGTGGCAACAGCCAGTGACATTTATAGAAGACTTTAAAGTTTGCCAAGTTCTTTGGCAGGCTTTATTACACCCATTTTGCGGGTTGGGAAGGTGAGGCACAGAGAGGTTGGTCATGACTTACCCAGAGTCACACAGCTCATACGAGTCTGAGGAAGGACAGGGAGATGTTCCTGAAAATGTTTTTTGATAAGTATGAGGTCTTGTAAAGAGTTTAGAAATTATAACTGCAGACCTTGAGAAAAGATGAAGCATTTTCAGATGTCAGTTACCCCTCTCCTTTGCTGCTGAATGAGAAGAGAAAGGCAACGAAGGACTTTATAGACTCCACCAAAATTAGAGTGTGAATATTTCTGTATTTGGAATTGTAATCTTGTCTTTTGGAACTTGAGGGTTCTCATGAAGAACCTTTAGAAGAAATAATGGACAGTGGGTCTGACCTCTGTCTCCTCACCCTCTGATCCCTACCCAAACCCTTCCCACTCCCCGCTTTTACACACACATGCATTATTTTGGTTGAAGATCACTATGGCCCAGAGTATCCGTAGCTCCACTGAAGCCTTCCTTCAATGTCTCATCCAAGGTTAACTCTAGGTACTCAAGGCGATGCCCAACCTCTGGCTGCTGCTACCAGGCCTGGTGGTGGTTAATAGAGCCAGGAGGGCTTTGAAGGTAGACCAAGTAACAGACTATGTCTACTGTCTGAGGGCCAGCCTGGCTAAGCATGGATAGAGAATGTCATCATCACTGGACGCTGACACAGATTAAAAATAGCCCTTAGTCCAATGGGGCCCCTTTGACATCTGGAATAACCATTGGAAAGGGCCAGGAAAAGGTTAGGGCAGCTAGGAGGTGCCATAGTGGATTGGGCCTGGAGTCAGGAAGACCAGAGTTCAAATCCAGCCTTAGACACTTCTTCGCTATGTAACCTTGAACAAGCCATTGAAACCCCTTTCCCTCGGCTTCCTTAACTGTAAAATGGAGTAATAGCAGCATCCACCTCCTGAGGTTGCTGTGAGGACCAGCACGGCCATATTTGTCAAGTGCTTTTCATCCTTAAGGCTCTATCTCTATTCAAATGCTATGTACTCGGACCAGCCGATGGATTTGGCATGGCAGCCCTGAGCTATCAACAGCCGTCATGGTTTCGGAAAGACCGTTTGACCTCATGGTTCTCAGCCCATGAATCCCTGTCTGTAACTCGAAAGAAAAGCAGTGTTTCCAAATGAAAATTTATGTGACAAGTCCTTTGAGAAATGGGTCGGGGGAGACATGGGTTTGTTAAAAGTGAAACCAGTGAGCTTGGACCTGACCCGCCAACCCTCCTGACCCCAGGACTAATGAAGGGGAAAGAGGCTCCGTGCATAAACACGGCCCTGCGGGAGGCTCCGTTACCCAGGATCTGGTTACACCAAGACCAGATGAGCAGGGCATCCAGGAGGCATCTGGGCACGAGGGAGGGCAGCGCTGGCCATTTGGGGGCACCACCTGGTGCTCCCTCTGCACAGCAGCCTGCCAGGCGCCTTCCCATCCCCCCATCCCGGCCTTGGCCAGTGTTGTGTGGGCGATGGGAGGCAGGCCCCGCCCCTCCCCCTCCCGGCAAAGCGTTTCCCTTTTCCAAGACGTCGGTCTCCCTCCAGGCCTTTCCAGCCCCGAAGCGGCTCTAAGCTGAGAGCCCCTCGTGGTTCTAGGATCCAAGATCTATTAATCATTCATAGCAATAAGAACATTTCTACGTGGCTCCAAAGTCTGCAAAACCCTTGGCATGTGTTATTTCATTTGACCCTCCAAACGACTTGGGCCTATTTTACAGATGAGGAAATTGAGTCAGAGAAAAACTAAATGACTCGCCTAGGAGGTCTCATGGCAGGCCTCCACTCCAGGAGCCGCCCAGCTGCCCCTTCTTGGGATTCTGCCCAAGGAGAGAAAAGAACCCGCCTGCACCTGCTCAGCTCCCCGGCCTCAGTCTCCTCAGCTTTAGAATGGTATAATAATCCTTCCCCTCCCCACCTTGCGATTCGTGACCGGGAAGAGCCACACAAGCTCTGGTGTGCTGTGCAAACAAAACACTGCTGGTATTATTTATTATTATTAATCGCTCCCGGAACAGCGCCCTGCTCCCATCAGACACTCAGCAAATGCCGGATTGGAGTGTACCTAACTGAGGCTTTAGATGTGGGTCTGCAGCGTTACCGCTCCTCACCGCTGACGAGTGCGCACGGAGTCTGCTCGAGGTTGAAATGAGTCCAATCAGGCTAATTTACTACTTGGCCGAGAGAGCGACAAGATCATCCGCGGAGGGCAAGCTGGGTTCTGCGCGTTTCAGACTTGGGGGAAGGACGCATTCCCCGACCGATGCTGACTTGGATTCTGCACAGCAAGCCCAGCTTGCTCCCAAGGACCCCAAAGGTTTTGGTTCGGGATTGGCCTGCAGCGATGCCGAGGAGCCTGGGGGAGAGTCCGAAGTCTTAGGATTCACAGCAAGTCAACACGCATTTATGAAGTACTTGCTGTATACTAGGCGCTGGGAATACCGATAACAAAAACGACGATCCTTCCCTGAATACGCTCACGGAGCGTACATTCAGTTAAGGGGGAAACGGTGTGTGCCCAGATAAGTCGATACAAGTGTATGTGCAAGATTAAAGCCAGGCAGTTTCGGAGCAAGGTATGAACAGCACAAAAGACAACTCAGGCAAAGCGTGGAGGTGGGAGATGGCGTGTGCACAAGAATCCGTGAGGCTGGCTGGACTGGACTGTATCAAACTGCTCTTCCTCTCAGACCTTCCGTCTCCTGAAGACTGACCACTTTTCTTCCCATGCTGGAATGGCTGGTCGTCCCTGCTTCCCACCCAGTCCTCACCCCCCCACACACACACACTCACATATGCACAATATGCACACACACACATACATACACACTCACATAGACTAACACACACATACATTCATGTATACAGTCACACACATACATACACACACAAATGCACATGCACATACATACACACAAACACACTCACATATACACACATATGCAAACACACAAATACGCATGTATGTACATACACACTCACACATATACACATACATGCACAAATACATTCACAATACACACATACACATATGCAAACACACAAACACATATGTACACGCACACAAACACACTCACAATACATGTGCACACATGCAAACATATATGTGTGTATGCACACAGATACACATACAAACACATGTATATGCATGCACACTCACACATATACACACATACACAAACACTCACAATACACCTACACATATGCAAACACACAAGCACATATGTACATATATACAAACTCACACAAACACAATATACATACACATGTGCAAGCACACATAAACACACATGTGTACATGCATGCACACAAACACACTCACACACATACATATATTCAAACACACAAACACATATGTACATACATATACACAAGCATACTCATACACATACGTACTCACACAAACACACACTCACAATACACACATTCACACATGCAAATACTCACAAACACACACATGGTACATTATATACATACTCACACATACGCACAAACATAAAACATACACAAACACATACACTCATCCCGGGCTCCACCCTCCTCCATCCCCAACCGTAACCTCATCTCCGATGGCTTCAATATTCCCTTCGAGCTTCTGTGAACGTAGTGGTCCCCACCCACTAACCTCCCCGTGTCCCCCCATCTCGGACCTCACCCCCCCAGACTATGATCTCTGAACTCCTCCTCACCCCTGACCTCTGTTCCCTCAGTCCACTCGCTCCATCCTGACTTCACTTTCCTCACTTCATGCATGCCCTTAACCTCACAGCTGATCCTCGGGACAAGGACCTCCCCCCTGCCCATCGACCCTTTGCTCTGTAGCCTTTACCTCCTAATCATCCTCAGCCCCAGGCACCCCCATCATCCATGCCAGCAAGACCATGCCCTGTGCCTGCCCAGCGTCGTTCTAAAGCACGGCCTGATCTGCTGTCACAGTCCCAGAGATGCTTCAGTGAGGGGGCTGGGCCCTTTGAGTGATTTGGGCAAGCACTTTCCAAGAACATGGTTCTGTCTTCAACCCCCTGGCTAATTCCTCCCATCTCCCATATCCAGGCCTTTGCATTAGCAGTCACTCACACCTGAAA